TACTAAATTTTTAACTTTGGTGAACGTGTAGAACTGGAATCCTACAAGCTGCAACTAACTTTGCTTTCGGAGTGTAAGATTGAGATAGTTTTGAATATCGCTACAAAATACAGAATGGTGCCAAATCTGGTACAATTTGGATTTCGATGTACAGTTGGAGGTGAAATTCTTAGATTTGGACTTACGATTACCATTTGAAAACTGAATTGAGGTAGTTTTTTTTTAAATTCGTACTTATGACTATGAAATGCACTAAATTTGGTACAATCTGAACTTTGGAGGAATTAAGATTACTGTTAGAGTGCAGGATTGATGTAGTTTTAGAAATTATTACATACTAGCAAAGTGCCCGCTACTTCGTATGCGGAAAGGGAATACAAAAATTTTTCATATGGAAATCGTGAATACTTTATAATTTGTTGTACTATAGTTCTGACTTCCATCTCTATTTCTACATCTAATATCAAGTTTATTACCATTTAGTACTCTTCAAAAACATATGGACTATTTTCCAAAATCCATTTTTTTTTTTTTTTTTTTTGTTTTATACACAGATTAAAAATAGATTAGATTTTAGCAAATACGTACAGGTTGCACATTTAGTTTCATTTAGCACTTTACTTCCAAAACCCCCTTGGTACTTCATTCAAACTCTCCGTCAGTGACCGACATTATAAATTTTTGTTTCCCGCTCTCTCCGTTACCCACATCCAAATTTAGTGCATTTTCTATTCTATTTACTATTCGTACACATAAATTTGATTTTCCAAAGTTGTCGCCATAACTCAATACTACAGTTTAACAATAATCTAAATTCCAAATCTCTGGGTTCAACCAAATCCAAATTTAAACCCATTTAGTACTTTTCATACTCCTAAGTAAGAATTTCTAAAACTACATCAATCCTACACTCTCACAGTAATCTTAATTCGACCAAAGTCCAAGCCGTACCAAATTTAGTACTTTTCGTACTCATAAGTACAAATTTCCAAATGTAACGTAAGTCCAAATTTGAGCATTCCACTTCTGTCTGTTCATTAAAAAACAAATTATACCAAATTTGGTACCATTCTGTACTTTTCGTACCCATTTTACAAACCTATCTCAATATTCCAAACCTGCTTTCAAATAGCAATCGTAAGTTCTGTTCAGCTCTGTCTGTTCTCCAAATTGTACCAGATTTGGTACCATTCTGTACTTTTCCTACAATCCCACAGTAACCTATGTGGCAACTTTCAGAATTTGAGTTCTAACCGTTCACTCAAGTCCACATTGTACCAAATTTTGTGCTTTTCGTACCCATAAGTACGAATTTCCAAAACTACCTCAGTCATGCACTCCAATGATAACCTTAAGTACACATTTAAGGATCCCAGCTTGTACCAAATTTAGTACCATTTAGTACACGTATTACAAATTTTCAAAACTACTGACATATCTCAAACCTGCACTCAAACTGTTATATTAATTCAAAATTTCAGAATCTCAGCCCTATTCGTTCACACAAAAACAATTTGTAAACCATTTGGTACCAGTTAATACTTTTTTCCTACACTCTAACAGTAATTTTAAATCGAAAATTCTGGAGTCCAGCTATATACGTTCACACATTATTAAGTTGTACCAAATATAGACCATTTAGTACACATAAGTACTACGCTTCCATATTTCAATTCTTTATTCAAACAGCAACCATTATTGCAAATCTTAGGTTTTCAGATCTCTCCATTCACCCAAATCCAAATTGTACCAAATTTAGTTCCGTTTAGTACTTTTCGTACACATAAATACGAATTTCCAAAGATGTGTCTATAGCTCAATCTTCAACAGTAATCTTACTTCCAAATTTCAGGTTTTCAGCTCTATCCTTTCAAGCAAAATCCAAATTGTACTAAATTTAGTACCATATAGAACTTTTCGTACCAGTAAGTACGAATTTCTTAAACTACCTCAATCGTACACTCCAACAGCCATTTTAATTCTCAATTTGAAGACTCCAGCTCTATCCGTTCACCTAAATCCAACCTGCACCAAATTTAGTACCATTTAGTACTTTTCGTACAAATAAGTACGAATTTTTAAAGCTACCTCAATCCTGTACTACAATAGTATTCCTATTTCCGATTTTAAGGCATTCATCTCTATACACTCATTTAAACGCAAATAGTACTAAATTTAGTACCATTTTGTACGTTTTATATAAATATGTACTAATTTCATAAACCATTTCCATACATCAATAAAGGTTGGGAAGTGTCCCAACCTATACAATTTGAACTAAATTTAGTAATGTTTAGTACTTTTCGTACACTTTTAGGTCGAATTTCCAAAAACCATTTTGTACATCTTTCTAACATTCCATCAGTGACCCACATGCCAAATTTCAGAATTCCAACTCTTCCCGTTCGCCTAATACAAAGGGTACCATATTTGGTACATTTTAGTACTTTTCGTACCCTTCTAGTTCGAATTTCCAAAAACCCAGCCTTATCTCACGCCTACACACCAATAGCAACCCTCACTCAAAATTTCAAGCTTCTAGCTTTAGGCGTTTCGTCTGGGCGTAACTCACTCACTTAACACTAAGCTCTTTTATATATATAGATGAGTATGCAAAGTACTAAATGGTAACACATTTGGTACAATTTGGATATGGGTGAATCCTTATATTTGGAAATTAGACTACTGTTGAAGTTTCGGATTGAGCTATGTAAACAGCTTTAAAAATTCGAATTTATGCGTACGAATAGTATTAAATGCACTAAAATTTGGTATTAACTGCTACGAAATTTAGTGCAACTAGAAATACAATTGATGTATGGAGGTAGTCTTGAAAATGTGTTCTTATGTGTTCGAAAAGTGTTGAATGGAACTAAATATGAAGCCTGTAGGTATTTGCTAAAATATATACATATTTGAAATTGTGATCACTTTTGAATCTGTATAATAAAAAAAAACAAATGAGATTTCAGAAATTAGTGTTTATGTGTATGAAGGGTACTAAATGGCAATAAACTTGATATTAGGTGTAGGAATAGAGGTGGAATTCGGAATAATGTATACGTTATACGAAAATTTATACGGTATTCACGATTTCCATATAAAATATTTTTTATTTGTTTTTTATTCCCTTTCCGCATACGAAGTTTCGGGCGCTCGCTAGTACGTACTATAAAATAACAATGGAACCAAATGGTACTAAAATTCTAATTGTGGTCAATATTGGTATGTATTTTTATTTGCGCTTCTAACATATGCAGTTCCCAAAAAAAAAAACAAATTACAAATTAAAATATTTAGATATATTAAAATAATTCTCACATCCGCTGACGAAGTAGCGGACATATGGTAGTTCTAGTATAAAATTGAATATGTACTCACCTCTGGCATTGGCGTCTCATCTTCTCTAGAAAGCTGCGAAGCGTAGGTAAACAGATTGTTCACCGAGTTTATTTTCTATTCTCTGTTAGGAGCTGTAAACAAAGTACTGTGTCCAATAAACATTTTCTTAGAAAGGTATAGACTTTGAACTAGAGCAACATCGATGTTTTAAGGTAAGGATATGCAATTCACCCATTAGAAGACCAAGGTTCTACTTCTTAATGTCAAAATTCGACAGAATATGTCGTCAACTTCCTGAATGGATTCTTCAGACTGCTTATTGTCGCATCATATACCAGTCGACTGACAGATAATATTGCAGCAGCCTTCAATGGGTGTTTTTGAACGTTTAGTTGAAGCATGACTTTTTAAGTCGATATATGTATGTCCGTCCGTCTGTCTGTCCATGTTAAATTGTAAACAAAGTACAGCTCGCATTTATGATCCGAATTGGATTAAATTTGGCACAGCTCATTTATTTGGCCCAAGGAGGAACCCTATTGAAATTGGAAAAAATCGGTTCGATTTGTACGAAATTTGGTATATCGCACTAAATTAAGTCTAGAGTGATGTGTGTTAAGTTTCGTAAAAATCGGTTCAGATTTAGATATAGCTCCCATATGTACTTTGGTCCGATTTAAGGTAAAAGGTGCACCAAAGTACCTATATATCTTTCGATTTCCACGAAATTCGGTATAGCGTACAAAATTAAGTCTAGAGTCATGTGTGTTAAACTTCGTGAAAATCGGTACAGATTTAGATATAGCTCCCATATATATTTTCGTCGATTTCCACAAAATTCGGTATAGCGTACTAAATTAAGTCTAGAGTGATGTGTGTCGAATTTCTTGAAAATCGGTTCAGATTTAGATACAGCTCCCATATAAGTCCCTATACATCCTTCGATTTGCACGAAATTTGGCATAGCGTACTGAATTAAGTGTAGAACGATGTGTGTCAAATTTCGTGAAAATGTGTTCAGATTTAGATATAGCTCATCTATTTTTTGTCCGATTTTATGTAGATGGTGCAACAAAGTCCCTATATAACTTTAGATTTGCACGGAATTTGGCATAGCATACTGAATTAAGTCTAAACGATAAGTGTTAAGTTTCGTGAAAATCGGTTCAGATTCAGATATAGCTCCCATATATATTTTCGTACGATTTAATGTAAATGGAGTACCAAAGTCCCTATATATCTTTCGATTTGCAGGAAATTTGGCATAGCATACTGAATTAAGTCTATAATAATGAATGTTAAGTTTCGTGAAAATCGGTTCAGATTTATATATTGCTCCAATATATATTTTCGTCCGGCCAAACACACACTATTTGTTTACCGAACGATTCCATTCCAACGGTCCTCTAAATATCATATGTCTGTTCTATATTAGCATATCTTGTATGTATCAAAAGTGGTGAAGGGTATCATTATAGATTAAATGGGTCAACTCAATCAAGGATTCTATAGACAGAAAACCTTATGAAACTTTTCTATTTCATTTGAACTATAGAAGACCTATATGATCAATCCTAAAACAAACAAGATAACATTTTGATCCACACCAGTATTTTATTTTTATTGTAAATACTACTACTTATGCTAAAAATAAATATCTAATTCTGAGATGTATAAAAATGATTCTTAATAAATTCAGCACGGCTGCGTTCTTCAGTATTTGTTGGTATCTCATAGTGATGATTTTCATAATCCTTCAAACTTCCGGGATCTAAAGAGATGATGAATGTTTAAAAATATTTATTATAAACATATATATCTAAAACTATAAATACCAACCTATTGATGAATCTTTCCATTCCAATGCCATATTATGTAGTAGAACCAAAGCGACAACAATATGCCGGGCAGTTGTGTGTGAACCATGAAATTCGTCATTTAAAATACCAAAACGATGTTGTAATAATTTCAACGATTTTCTTGCCGGTTCATATGTTAAACGTAATGAACTATTAAAGGCCTGTTCGGCCAATGTTATGCCATAGAGGACCGGTGTATAAAGATATGATGAGCATTTCAAATCAGAATCTCCTAGAAGCAAACGACCACGGAATTCATTTTGCTCAAAACGTTCTTTGATCCTACTCTGGGCAAATATATCAGCTGGAGTTTTCACATCGCATGCCTTGGTCAAATGACAATCTAAATCACGTATTTTTAAACTGGCATCTGTTACAATCTGTATATGCAGTATGTGTTCCACGGTATTATTCTGTTCTACTGGATTATTTCCCATTGAAGTCTTCTGTCGTTTACATTTCATTTGTGTATGATTAACAGCACCGATCACCTGAGGCATACGAGCTATATCGTAGAAACCTTTTGTAACCTTCTCCTTTTCGGCTAGTAAACATGGCATACGAATATATCGAGATGCATTATACGATAAAGCTTCGGCAACACGTTTGCTTATTTTCATGAGAGTTTTAAGCGTAACTCCATGTGTTTGTGCGGTTATTTCGGGATGCTGAAAAAAGAGGAAAATACGATTAAATTTTGGGTTCTATATGCATATATAAGACCTTCAGAAAGTTAAGCTTCAGGAAGCATGATAGGTCTTATAGAGCTCTTCTTTTAATAGAATGGCTTATGAAGATCTTCAATAGACGGGAGACTTATTAAAGCTCTTCTATAGAAGGTTTTATACAGAATGGAAGATATTCTGAAGCTCTTCTACACATTAAAAACCCTTCTGAAGCTTTTTGTAGAATAGAAATCATTCGGAAACTCTTCTAAAGAGAATGTTCATTCTATTTCTATATGAAATAAAAGAGCGTTCTGAAGCTTTCTATAAAATAGAAGACGTCCTAAAGCTCTTCCATAAAATAGAACATTTTCTGAAGCTTTTCTATAAAACACAAGACATTCTAAAGCTTTTCAATAAAATGCCTTCTGAAGCTCTTTTATGAAATGAAGCCAATCAGAAGCTCTTCTGTAAAATAGAAAACTTACTGAAGATCTTTCCTAAAATAGAAGACCTTCTGAAGCTCTCCTATAAGTTAGAAGACTCTAAAATTCTCAATAAGATAGAAGACCTTCTAAAGTTTCTGAAGCTCTTTTATAAAATAAATGATCCTCTGAAACTATTTTGTGAAATAGAAGGCGTTCTAAAGCTCTTTTATAAATTGAAAGACCATCTGAAGCTCTCTAGAAAATGGAATCCTTCTGAAGCTCTTATATAAAATGGATTAACTTCTAGGCTCTTCAATAAAATAGATAGAATATAGAAGAAGGCCAATTTTTTATAGAAAAGCTTTCTATAAAATAGAATACCTACTGCGCTCTTTTATAAAGTAGAAACCCCCTTGAAGCTCCCCTATTAAATAGAGACCTTCTGAAGCTCTTCTATAAATTAGAAGACCTTCTGAAGCTCTTCTATAAAACAGAAGACCTTCTGAAGCTCTTCTATAAAATAGAAGAACTTCTGAAGCTCTTCTATAAAATAGAAGACTTTCTGAAGCTTTTCTATAAAATAGAAGACCTTCTGAAGCTCTTCTATAAAAATAGAAGACCTTTTGAAGCTCTTCTAAAAAAATAAAAGACCTTCTGAAGCTTTCTATAAAATAGAAAACTTACTGAAGATCTTTCCTAAAATAGAAGACCTTCTGAAGCTCTCCTATAAGTTAGAAGACTTTCTAAACTTCTCAATAAGCTCTTCTATAAAATAGAAGAACTTCTGAAGCTCTTCTATAAAATAGAAGAACTTCTGAAGCTCTTCTATAAAATAGAAGACTTTCTGAAGCTTTTCCATAAAATAGAAGACCTTCTGAAGCTTTTCCATAAAATAGAAGACCTTCTGAAGCTCTTCTATAAAAATAGAAGACCTTCTGAAGCTCTTCTATTTTTAAAGATGACCTTTTGAAGCTCTTCTAAAAAAATAAAAGAACTTCTGAAACTCTTCTATAAAATAGAAGACCTTCAGAAGCTCTTCTGTAAAATAGAAGACTTTCTGAAGCTCTTCTTTAAAACAGAGGACCTTCTTCTAAAAAAATGGGAATCTCTTATATAAAAAGAAAAAAGATAGGCCTTATGAATGTATTCTATATATTAGAACCCTGAACCCCTTCAGAATATATTCGATCCTTTTGAAGCTTTTCAAAAAATTAGACGTCCTTGTGAATCTCTTCTTTAAAATTTTTAATGATTTCCTGTCGATTGCTTGTCAATAAACAGAACACCTTCTTGATAATGAAGATTTGTTACCTCAGTCCTTCCCCAATAACGAACAGCTGCCATTATTTGTTTCTCCACCGGTACTTGAGACTTTGCCGGATTTAGGGTATCCACCTTGCCGTTCGAATTCTGTTGCTGTTCAACTTCCAAATCATCCTTCAGCATATCAATTAAACGTTTCATACTATCCTTGGTGAAACGATAACTATATTGGAATTCCTTTTCCCTTAAATCGATCAAAGGATTAAAACGACGTTTCCGTCGTTTCGGCTTTGTGCGTAGCGGTGCACAAAATTTCGCCAATTGTTTATTGCAATGTATGCGACGTATTATTTGATCCATATTGAGAAATGATTGAAATGCATTCAAATCATCTAAATCGTTTTGAAAACGTTCTATTGTTTCTAAATCCATTTTTTTTCTTTTTAAAATACTATTTGCAAAATGTACGATTTTCAATGTATACACAGAAAAAATTGAAAAACGTTCCACTTGCTAACGAATGGGAGAGAAGATAAAGCGGATGATAAAGAAAAACACAAAGAAGGTTAACGAAATATTTACGAATGTGGTGGGATGGAGACTGCATGAGAATCTCATTGCTATTTTAGATTAGGCGAGTTTACTTGCGGCAATTCTTATCGTTTTCTTTTGAACTTGCTTCATGTGTTATGGATTGGTATTTCAAATTACTGACACTACAAACAAAATACACAAAACGAATTGGCAAAAAATTGCCGGTACGAACAGTTTTTTCCAATTTCTATTCCCCTTGTTCCTCTCTCCAGCAAACAAAGACTTGCCGCAAGTAAACTAGCCTAATCTAAATTGGGGCAAAGATTGATATTGAACATGGGAAA